TTATTTCGGCATTGGCTCTGGTTCACCTAGAAAATGCTCCCTAAGATGCAGAGCACGTGTTCGGGCTTCCCTCTCGCCCTAACACCATTACAATTTGCAGCCCTTCCACTGAATGAAGCTCTGCGGGGGAAGGAAGCCCTAAATCACTGTGCGCGCGCGTGGGGGGCGGGGAGAACACGTGGGGTGCAATATTTCCCTGGAGGGAGAGGGAGGGTTGAATGCATCGGCAGCTGGACCCTCTCTCCCAAGATATTATGAAATACGCTCAGTGCACACCTTGCCCTCTGAAGCGACCACCTCCCGTCTCAGGCCGCCCGCTTGCTGCAGCGTCTTCCTGAGCGTTCTGATGCGCGCAGGGCAGCGAGCAAGGCCCTTGGAAATACACACTCCAGACCCGTAGGGTTGAAAGGAAAGGGCCCCACGCATGCGCGCAGGCACTCGCTGGCCACGCCTCCCCCCCTCCCGCCCCCCCCAACTCCACTCCCAGAATCAACAGGCGGACTTGTCCTTTGCGCCCTGGCCTCTCCCCGCCCCGCGGTCTGGGAGAGGCTCCGCTAGAAGTGGTGCTGGTGCAGGGCCGCGGGCGGGGGGCCTTTCTCCAGCCGCTTGACGTGGCAGGGCTGGCAGAAGAGATGGTCCTCCAGGGGGTAGCAGCGGTGGCCGTCCTCGTCGTTGAGCTCCAGGCCGCAGTCCTGGGAGAGACAGAAATGTCCAGTGGCAGGCAGCCAAGCAAAAGGGCTGCCAAAGGCCGGCGTCCCGGGAACCAGCAGTGTGGCTCGCCGGGGGGGTGGCAAACGCAGGGCCCCAGCCCCCCTCCCCGGGGAAGGTCTGGGCTACACTGTCACACCCCCGGGCCACCGGCCACATGTCCCCCTCCTGCACTTGAGATGGGGCTGGTGGGAAATGGGATGTGATGTCAGTGTAAACACACCCCAGATTTCCAAGACTTGGGGGGGGCGGGATATAAAATGGCTCATGAATTGGAGAGCACTTTAATGGTCTACAAATTGATGCAGTTTTATTGTTATGACATGTTAAAATCATTTTATAGAAACAGTAAAACTTCAAATAATTTTATAGGAACAACATTGTGCATAACTTTATAGAAACAGTAAATTTTTGAATAAATTTGTAGAAAACAAGAGACACCAAGGAAAGTAATTTTCTCTGCACAGTTGACATTTTCATACTCTCGATGGAAATTTCCCACATCTGTCCCATTCTGGCTCAGAACAATGGATAGCCAATATATGTTGTTCATTTTTTATCTATTACTTTAAACAGTTACTTCCAATAGTCACTGGGAAATTAGGACTATTCGTGGCACAAAGGAGAGTACAAAGAATTTGGTTTTCCTGGCAGACAGGGTCTTATTAACAACCGCACCAAGCAACCACGGTTTGGGGGGCAAGTCTCGCACATATTCTTTGCAAGAGTATCAGCAGCCCTCACAGTTCTCACACTTTCACACTTACGGGAAGTGGCACACGAAGACGGCCTGCAAAGGATTGTGGGTAATTCTCAAGTCCTAACATTCCTGTTTTTCCTTTTGTAAGTGTGACCCACGCCCATGGAAACAAGGCGATGGCCGCCCTTGAAGGTGATGGATCTCCGTGACAATCCCTTCCACCACCCAAGACTCAGTGGCATAACCTCAGGACTCAGCTGAAGAGGCTGTCACTCCAGCACTAACCGCGGAGCAAGGAAAGTCCTGTGGGGGCAGGGCAGGGGACAATAGGCAGTGACAGGGACAGGACTAAAGGTGCTCCCATGGTGAGAGATGGATAAATCACTCTTTACTCAGTGACAGATGGGAAACATCAGAGACAGAGACTCCTGATAGAGCCGGCCAACCTGGGTTACAACCTTTAGACCACCCAGGCAGTTTTTGAAAGTCCTGACCTGAGGGGGTGGGGAAGAGGCGATGGGAGGCAAAAAAAAATTAAAAAAAAAAAATTAAAGGGCAATGAGGCAAGGGAGAAGGCTGGAGGCTGGTGATGGGGTTTGGAATCAGGCCATAATTCTCTCCTCACTTAGCTAAAGTCAGGGTTGTCTAGGGAACTTGGGAAGGGCTATTTGCTCTAACTTTTACAACCAACATATTCATCCTGGTCTACCAGGCACTTGTTTTCTAAGTACAACCTCATTACAGGTCCACTTGGCTAATAACGTTCAGAATGTTTAAAATAACCAGGTAGGCGAACATCTCCTTGTGGCTTATGTGCAAGGGCCTGAGCAGGAGAGAGAAACTCGAGAGTCCTGCCTGGTACCCTCTCCAGGGACGCGGATCACAAGAGAGGTTGCTGCTCGGGTTTCGTCTGGTAATTCTCATTGTTCTTCAATGACAAAAAAAAATATGCCATATTGACAGCGAGATCTGAATCACCCCAATAAAGGCTATTTTAAAAATCTCACTTAAAAGACTGAATCACAGATTTAACTAACTAGTTACCCAATCTGCAAACAAACGCCTCCTACTTCTGTCAGTGGCTCACTCGCTGGACTCGAAAGTGGAACAAAGGTGAGTCCGTGAGGCCAGAAACATTCGTGGGTTGGCAAAGACAGGCTGAGACGCATTGGCTGGCTTCCTCTGCTCACAGCCTTGCCCAGGCTAAACCGGATGACTTGATGGGGAGAGAGGGGTGGGCCTCAGGGGTCCCTTCCCCAGCCCCACTCATTCACAAGTTTTCAGGAGGCTCAGCCTATGAAAAGGAACCAATGATAGCACACAGCCTGGAAGTGGCATCTGGCCAAAGGACCCCAGTAGAATGAATTTCATGCAACAACCCATGGTGTCAATTCTTGCATCTTACAGGCAACTGTTACCGAATGAGCCAAAAACGTGGCCTGGGAGGGAAGCTGGGCCAGGGGGAAGTCTGGGAGTCCCAGGATGGCCCACTGACCACCCTTCTCGGCCCCAGTCCCCCGGCTTGGGGTGCCAGGTGAGGAGACAGAGAGCAGGCACTAGCTGCCGTGCCCCAGCAACAAGGCTCCGAGTCTCTCTCCACAGGCTGAGAGGGCAAATGCCAGCCCACCTTTGACAAACATGAATGTATGTATCTTCCTATTGAAATACCAAGGGATCCTGACCTCTGGCCTCAGGACTGTGACATGCAAGGCAAATTGTGCCTCCTCAGTTCAGAAGTTGCCTTGAAAACTCGCCAGGGGGTGGCCCTCCAGGCCTTGCCACCCCGGGAGCCAGCACGATGAACTAGGTAAGGCAGTAGCACCCAGTTTCCACCTATTCCCTGCTGGCCTTCGGTTAGGGGCACAGGGCCCTGACCCACTGGAGTGTGGCCGGCATGAAGCTGGACGTTCCTAAGGCACCGAAGAAGGTATCTGAGCCCACGGCGGCGGTCCACTTCCTCCTTGACCTGCGATTTGGTGATGCTCGTATCTGTGAGGTATTTTGTGTGTGTGGAAGACTGAAAGTGGAGGGAAACAGTTAAGACCAAAGAGACAAAAGCACTGTACCTAATACCGGTCTCTTCCAATGTAATAATGCCGGTGCCAAGATTGGGGCAAGAGAGAAACCCGTGAAATGACTATAATAACTTATCCTCAGGCGCGCCCTCCACCGGGCCGAGAGGCCTCACACACGCACACACACTCCTCGTGGGTAAGGGGGTGGCTCTCAGGACGCGGGACTTCCAGAAGCCCAGCCTGACCTGAGCTGAACGGGCACGTGGGATCCTGAGACCCGCTTCTGCCGAAGCGACTCCCAAGTCACAGACCCTGGAGAGCGCCAGAGGGGCAAAGGGCAAACGGTGGGCAAAGAGGCCTGGTGCCCGCACCAAGTTCTCTGTCCCAGGGCACTCCGCTAGGCTAGAGCGGGGCAGGTCTCCGCCAGCCCCCCGCTGCCCACAGGGAGGGCAGGCCTGC